GGACAGACACTCCCCCTCCCCCGGAATCAGCCACAGAGGGACAGACACAGACCCCCCCACCCCCCTCTCCAGAAAGGCACACGGGGACGGACAGACGGACCCCGGTCAGGGGGACCCCTCACCCGCGTGTTGTTGCGCTCGGCTTTCAGCTCCGAAATCTCCTCCTCCCGCTCCAGCAGCTGCTCCCGGCAGGCGTTCAGCTCCTTGGTCAGCGCCGCAAACTCCTGGGGGGGGGACGGGGGGGACAGACACACACACCCCCGCAGAGTTAACGGCCGCTTGGAAAAAGGCGACCTGCGCTTTAGCCCGGCCCACCGGGGGCCCCCCGCCTGCCCCGTCCCCCATGGGAATCCCCCCCCAACCCCGCCTCTGCGCCCCGCCCCCAGCACAGCCCCTGCCCCGGAATCCGATCAGCCCCATAACTGTGGGGAACAGTTCAGGGACCGAGACGGTTGGCGGGGGGGGGATCCCGCAAGTGCGTGGGCGGGCGGGATCCCGCAGGTCTCGAACCCGGCTCCACCCCGACACGCCCATCCTCCTCTGGCTCCTGGTCATTCCCCCCCGGAGACAACTCGCCAGCTTCCTTTAACGACCCGTCGCCTCGTTTGCTACGGAACCGGATTGAGATGGGAGGCGCGACGGAGCCGGGGCGAGCGACCGCACCCCTGGGATCAGGAGTCACCTGGAGGGTGCCGGCATGGGGGCACACGGGACCAGCTACCGCCAAACCCTCCCCAGGCCGGCAAGGCAGACCCGGGCGCCCAAGGGACCGTCGGAGGCTCGGCTCATGCGGCCGAGGAGTTTGCGAGTGGACGGGTCGGATCTAAAGCCAGGGGGAAAACGGACACTCGCCGCGTTCCCGCGGATCCTCGGCGTCCCGCCGGCAGAGACAGAACCAGCTGACGCCAAGCCAGGAGAATCAGAGGAAATGGAGCCGCCCCGGCAGGGACCCGCGGCGAATACTGCCCTGATATTCACCCGGCCAGGCCTGCGGGCGGATCAGAGCAGGTGACGGACGGAGAACGGCGCTGAGGACCCGCGGTGGCCGGTGTCAGTAGGTCCTGATGCCGTTTGGCCGAGCGGCCGCCCCGGCCACTTCCCAACGTAGCCCCGGGGATGCGTTACGGGATGGCTCGTCCTGGCCTGCTGCAGCCTAGCACAAGGCCAACCCTGTTTCTTCTGATCCCCCCCGAGCGGCTCGTTCCACGTCGGGACAGTCCGAGAGTGACCAAAATCAACTCGCCGGGGCCTTTACGCCGAGTTCGAAAAACGTGCCTGCTTTCGAACCCTCAAAGCCAACTCGCGACCGAAACAGCCCTCGACGGGGCCCAGGGTCTTACCGACCCTGAAGATTTAGAGAACCCGCCCAAGGCCGGAGCAGCGAGCCAGCGACCCCTTCGGCGCGCCGCGTTCTTCCCACGGGTCAGCTTTGTCAGCTCCGCCGTCCCGGAGTGAGATGCGCCCAAGCCACCACCTGCTCGTGAACTTAGAGCCGCCGTCCAACGGGGTTTCTTCTCTTTAACCTGGTCTACGCCCGCCCCTGGGAGTGACCCCTTAGCGGGCCGGGCCCCACGGACCCACACAGTCCCACCGGGACAGGCCCGTCAGCACCAGCGCCCCCCCATCTCTTTCTGCGGCTCCCTGCAGTCCAGACAGACCCCACGCCAGGCTCCCAGAGGAATTCACAGCAGCCTTTGCTGAACAAGGTGCCCGCGGATGAGTCCCCCGGGCACAGACTCTGTCTGGCCACGGGCTGGCACCGGGAGGCAGAGTCTGACCCGTGATCCAGCACCGTGATGGGCCAGGCCAAGCTGGGACGGCCTCCGGGTCCCTCTCTGTCCCCGCCTTTGTCTGCCAGGTCCGGGCGCCTACGAAATGGGTGCCCCGCATCCAGTCCCCGAGCCCCGGTTCTCCAGCTCCGTTCCCAGGTCCTGCCCGCCGGGTGCGTCTCTGTCTCGCTGGCCCCTGTTGGTTTGGATTTGAGCCACCCCTCCGGCCTGTGTTAACCCTTTTGCACCCCGCTTGGGGGGGGGGTGGCAACGCAACACATGCAGGGAAACTGAGGCACGCCTAGGTGTCACACAAACATTACAGGAAACTGCTGATTCGTCACAGCCTCTCCTCCACGGGCCGCCCTCAGCCCAGTGGCCAGCGGAGCGCGGGAGCAGCTCCACCGCCTGCCAGTCCTCACAACACGACGCAGCTGCCGCCTCCCTGGCTGTCCCCCCCGCCAGCGTTACCCGCATCCTCCACCAGCCCGGTGGCGTGGCACCGGGTCCCACCCATCCAAGGGCACAGGGGCCATCTCAAAAAACCAAAGCAGGGTGATAAAAAGCCAGGCAAGACCCGCGTCGCCCACCAGGTCCCCATCCCCGCAGGGACGGACGTTCCCTCCAACCCGGGCACCGGCTCCCTAGAGAATCTGATGACAGATCAACCACTTCCCCTCCCAGGGCCCAACCCCCAGATGGGATGGGCACGTCGTCCGGGGGTGGTGGTGGTGTCCAGAACCGAGGAAGGCAAACGCCAGCCCGAGGGGAGGGGTATGGGCGTGACCCCACAGGGCTCAAACGTGCTCTCATCCAATGGCTGTTTCTGGCTTCCAGGTCGCTAACCACTAGACCCTGCCGCCTACATCCCGGCCCCGACAGTGGTGAAGGGGGGCGGAGCTGTGGAGTCGCTGGCACGGCTGGGGTGGACAGGGCGGCATTACCGCCCAAGCTCTGCCCGCATCTGCCCTAGTGCAGACACGATTCTGCCGCCGCGGGAGCTTGCCCAGCTGGTGGGCGGGGCTGGTCTACGCTGCGCCAGTCAACCTCTGCCGGTGCCCCTCACTCCCAACCCGCAGCCCCCTGCCAGCCCAGCCCTGGGCTCCCCCCAGCCCTGCCGGTGCCCCTCCCTGCCGCCCTGCAGCCCCCCGCCGGGTGCTGACCTGGGGCAGGGCGATGCTCAGCTGTCTCTGCAGCGACTCCTTCTCGTGGGCCAGGTCGCGGAGCCGGAGCTGGGCCGTGCCCAGGCTGTCCTGCGTGTCCCGCAGCGTCTCCAGCAGCCGCTCCCGCTCCGTCAGCATGTTGACCATCAGCTGCTCGAAGTTGGCGTCCTCCGGCCCGTAGGCCGAGCCCCGGCGGCTGTCCTCGCTGATGGTGGGCATCACTTCGCACATCATCCTGCCGGGGGGGCGGGGCAGGCCCCGGGGGGCGCCGCGGGGGGGTGGGCGGGGGGCTCAGTGCCCCGACCTACCGGGGGTGGGAGTGATGGAGAGAGAAAGAATGAGACAGAACTCGGATGCCTGGGTTCTATCCCAGCGCTGGGAGGGGAGTGGGGCCTAGTGGTTAGAGCTGGGGGGAGGGGGGGCTGGGAGCCAGGATACCTGGGTTCTCTCCCTGTCTCTGGGAGGGGAGGGGGGTCTGGTGGGTTAGAGCCGGGGCTGACAGCCAGGACACCGGGGTTCTCTCCCTGGCTCTGGGAGGGG